AAGTATCACAGTGTTTGGAGCAGACCCTGCCATGTTCTGCCCATGTGTCCTTGACCTTACAATCTCAGTAGACACTTGCTGGACTCCCAGCACCTGGATTTCCTAGCCTAAGTTTGGCTCAGTTCAGTTTAGTTGCTCAGTCGTGTCCAACTCTTTGCCACCTCATGGACTGCAGCATGCCAGGCTTCCCTGACCATCACCAATGCTCAAACTCATGTCCATCGAGTCAGTGATGCCATCCAACCATCTTATCCTCTGTCGTCCCCTTCTCCTGCCTTCAATCTTTCCTAGTAGCAGGCTGTTTTCCAATGAGTCAGTTCTCTGCATCGGGTGGCCAAAGTATTAGAGCCTTAGCTTCATCATCAGTCCTTTCAATAAATATTCAGGACTGATTTCCTTTAAGATGGACTGGTTTGATCTCCTTGCAGTCCAAGGGACTCTCTTTACAATTAAAGGAACCCACTTTGCGAGCCTCACATGAAAGGCTAGAAATGATGGAAATTAATAATTGATGACTGGGCTTCCTTGGTGGCTCAGTGGTAAAGAATCTACCTACCAACGGCTTCAATCCCTGATCCAGGAAGATCCCACATGCTGTGAGCAACTAAATCCATGCATCACAACTATTGAGCACGTGCTCTAGAGCCCACGTGCTCCACAACGAGAGAAGGAACTGCAGTGAGAAGCCCTTGCAATGTAACTAGAGAACAGCCCTCACGTGCCACAGCTATAGAAAAGCCCACATAGCAACGAAGACCCAGCAAGACCAAAAACAAATAAATTAATTGATTTTTAAAAAATGACTGCATGACTGGTGGGAGCTGGTGTATAAATATCTTAGGCCCCTCACCCCTCAGATGTAACTCCTTTTGGGTTTAATCTGGGAGCCACATTAAACGGTCATCACTTATATTTTTACAATGGTAATTTGTTTGTTGATGCAACTTCACTTGCTTCTTTTCATTTTCTGTCTTAATTCTCCACATCTCTGCTGATGTCTCCTGGAATCACTTCCCACATGCAATCTAATTGTGATCTTTAGGGTGGGGAGGGCAGGGTGTTGACTTTTGGAGGGACCAAAACTGAGACAATAGCTATTTCAAAAGTCTAAGGAATGAAGTCACTGCTTTAGCCTGAGTTATGCTCAATGTTTATTATAAGATTAGGACCTTCTGTTGGGAGCTCCTGAGTAGGGCTGGGTGGCATGGGAAGGTGAGAACACAGTGGGGCTGAAGAAACGGACAAGGAGAGGAGGCAGTTGTTCAAGAAGGCAGTTGTTCAAGAAGACATTTCTGTGGGAAGCTTGGAAACCTGGGAGGCAATTGGAACTGTGCAGAGGAGCAATGTGTGGAAAGATGGGAAGCCTGCCACGAACACATTGCCACCTTGGAAACCATGCAATTTGATTGAAACAGACATCCATATGGGTTCTTTTTGTGCCGTGCCCCTTTCTTCTTGGGGGATTTGAATTTGCTGTATTAGTTGCTTAGTTGTGTCCAACTCTTTGCAATCCCTTGGACTGTATATCACCAAGCTCCTCTGATCATGGAATTCTCCAGGCAAGAATACTGGAGTGGGTTGCCATTTCCTCCTCCAGGGGTCTTTCTGACCCAGGGATAAAACCTGGATCTCCTGCAAAGCAGACAGATTCTTTACCTTCTGAGTCACCAGGGAAGCCCTGGTTAATTCGCATATTCCCTAACCAAAAAGATATGTAGATTGTGTCTTGAAAAATGTTAAGTAAACCATTGTACAATGCCTTCAATTTTGAGTAAGAACCCTGGTTTCTCATTTCCTTTGGCAATCGAATTGAATATTTCTTGTGAAAAATCGCTTGAGGGTAAACACTTAGAATACATTGCTACCAGCCATGATCCTAATACTTTCTTGTTTACCTACATGGAAAGCACATAGATCATGATCTGGGCCCTGTAGCTGCCAAGGGAAAGGGTATTAAGATCATTTTGGTTCATTATATTGAATGTGTTTTCATCTTTACTGTATAAGAAATCACCTGGACCCAAATGATTACTCAAGTCACTAAATCTTTTGACATAAAAATGGTAAAATCTTTTGAAAATGGATGATTTAGTAAGACCAAGATTAAAGTGAGTTCAACAAAAATCAATGGCCATGAGATTTAGTTTGTCTGGTTTGATCATCTTGTCTGTTTTTCAGCGGAGAGGAGCAGATACCAGAACCTTAAACGGGAAAACCACGGGTGAAGCCGTTCTCTCATCTTGAAAGATGTGAGGGGGGCAATGTACAGAGAGAACAGGCCAGTGGGAATCAATTCCCCTGAGGAAAGTCAACATGGCTACACCATCTGTTGGGTTTATTTACCGCAGTGGGAATTTTAAGGTGAAGCATGAAGTATGGAGAAACTATGGAAAGCTGCGACAAACCTAGGCAACATATTTTAAAGCAGAGACATCACTTTGCCAGCAAAGGTTCACATAGACAAAGCTATGGTTTTTGCAGTAATGATGTATGAATGTGAGAGCTGATCCATAAAGAAGGCTGAGCACCGAAGAATTAATGCTTTCGAATTGTGCTGCTGGAGAAGACTCTTGAGAGTCCCTTGAACTGCAAGGAGATCAAACCAGTCAATCCTAAAGGAAATCAACCCTGATTATTCATTGGAAGGACGGATGCTGAAACTGAAATACTTTGGCCACCTGATACAAAGAGCTGACTCATTGGAAAAGCCCCCTGATGCTGGGAAAGATTGAGGGCAAAAAGAGAAGGGGATGATAGAGGATAAGATAGTTAGATAGCATCACAGACTCAATAGACATGTATTTGTGTGCACCACAACTAGAGAGTGAGCCGCAAGGAAAGATCCTGCATGACACAGCGAAGATTCGGCGTGCGGCAAATATAATAAATAAATTTATGGCATGGCATGGCATGTGTGCTCAGCTCTCATGTCAGCTATGGACTGTAGCCCCCTTGGCTCCGCTGTCCATGGAATTTTCCAAGCAAGAATACTGGAGTAGGTTGCTATTTCCTACTCCAGGGTATCTTCCTGATCCGGGGATCAAAACTATGTCCCCTGCATCGGAAGGCAGATTCTTTACCACTGCACCATCCAGGAAGTCCAATAAAAAAAATATTTTTAAAAAAGAAAAAAAGAAGAAGAACCAATATCGGAAGACTGTCAGGAGCTCCACGGTGGCCTTAGCTGTCCACGGACTGCTCTCCTCCTCTCCTTCTCTGTTGTTCCTATGTTGGCGCTGAGCCCTTGGGAACTGCTCTCTTGTCACCTCTGGATGCGGCGGAAGCAAGGGCGTCTGGTTAAGCCCCCAGCTGGCAGGTGGTTGAGCAGCTGCTGCCCAGGAGGCTGGCCAGGAAGCGCCCGGCCCCGCAAGAATGCTGTGTATTTAAGTGGCTTCTCCTTGCCAGTCTTTCTCATTGCCTATGGAAAAACACGGCACTGCTTGTTGCTGAGTCTCTTGGGGACCATTCTGGGGGGTTAGGGACATCTCAGTTACCCAGCCAGGCGAGGGGGTGGGGGTATTCTGGTAGCCACATTCCTGGGCTGATGGGAGGAACACTCATCCCTCCCGTGGCCCCCTCCACGGGAGGGGCCAGCATGGCTGCCTCCCCTCACCCTCACAACTGTTCTGGTTGATGTTTGAGTCCTATTTACTTCCCTTTCCCAAACCCCATCTCCTCAGTCTTTTGATCAGAGGAAACCACCGTAAGATCATCAAAATATTTCTAAAGACTTCGTAAGAGGACACTTTTGGTTTGTCCTCAGTGAGTCTGGGGCAACTGAGAGGAATCAGTATCATGTCTCCATAGATAGAAAGAGAAAATAGTCTGGGAGGAAAAGCAAGGATTAGAAGCTAAGCAGTTGCAGTAATTCTGGAAAACAATAGGGTTATTGTTAACATAATGAGCAGTTAAACTGTAAATGTCAAGTTGCCTACTAACCCCTTTCCTGAGCCTGGTTGAATAAACAAAATTTAAAAGTTGAAATTGTTTCTCCTCACTTCCCTGTTGAAATCAGAGCTTGAAAGTTGGCCAACAGAAAACTCTAGAATCCATGGAGAAATGTGTTGAGTATCTCGGTCTATTGACCAAATCTGCTCTCCAAAACAGAGACTGAGCCTTATCTATAGTAACTTCAGATGCTGTTTTCTTTTCTGTGTAATATGAAAACAAAAAGTTTTTCATGGTGACACTTTGGGGACTCTGGTTTCCCAGTCTTCCACAGTGGGCAAGTGGTGGGGATCAATCTAAGAAAGTCCACTGCTGTATATTCAGGCACAGGGGAAGCTACCAAGCTGTTTTGTTGTATGTGTGTGTGTGTGTGTGTTTTTTCTTCAATGCTCAAGCACTAAGTCCTGTCCAACTCTTTGTGACTCCATGGACTGTAGCCTACCAGGCTCCTCTGCCCATGGAATTTCCCTCCTTTTTTTTTTTTGCCACACTAGCAAATTCCAAACAGTCCTGTGGTTCAATCTTTAGATATATTTGTTCTTTCAAATTCTTGTGTCTTTCGGATTCTCTAAAGAACCAAATAGGCTCAAATTAGGTCAGCAGTCTTTCTAGGACTCTGGTTGCCTTCAGACATGTTGCTGGAAGAAGGCTGAAACCTGTTTTTGGTTTTGTTTTAGCGAACTCTGGGAGATACTGGAGAACACAGTTGTCTGGTGTGCTGCAGTCCATGGGGTCGCAGTCCATGGGGTCAAAAAGGGTCGGACTCGACTTAGCAACTGAACAACAATGACAAAGGAAGGCAAGCTGTACAAAGCCACTGTTACAGAGTAAGTGCTCAGTAAACAGGCTTTCAGTTCCCTTTTATTCTACCTGATGATGATTCCTTTCCATCCTCAATTTCACCTAGGTTTTGGTGGTTGTCACTTTTCCTTTCAGAGGTTTAAAACCCCGGCTGCCCCATGACCACGGCTTCTCTGATTGGTGAGGCTTTGGAAGGCTCCGAAGGAAGTTTCTGCAGCCAGGAGATCCAGTTACTCTGATTTCACGATGCCATGTTTACAAAGCATTGTACGTTTTTGTGTTAGCTTGTCACTCAAAAATGCTTTTTTAAAAGGAAGACAAGATTCTGGCCAACCCAAACTACCATGTTATGATTTTGACATGCCAAATCTATTTTCTAACTACAGTCCTGATATTTTAAAAATAAATCTTGCCCTCTGGAAATTTGTACTTTGGAGATTTCAGAGAACTAAAAACAAAAATGCAGATAAAGTGCGGATGACGATTGCAAACTCAGCAGCATCACCCTGCCCTCTCTGTGATGCTATGAGAATGTCCCTTGAAGTGTTCACCAGGTGACCACCAAGCTGTCATTCTCAGGGGTATTAGACTATTACAAGGAAGTTTCTTTAATTCCCAGCCTTTAGCTGGAAACTATTACAAGCTCTTCTGAAGACTCTTCATTGTATTTTATAAACTCTTCATTTGTAATTTATATTATTCAGTTATTCAAACTTCCTTGGTAACCTCAACTGATATGATAGTAACCATATAACAGAGAATTTGATGGGTGGAAAAATAATGATTTTTTTTTTTTTTTGCCTTAAGGGAGCATTGGACTGAGCTGCATGCAGGAGAGGTGTTTGTACAGGTTCCCAGAGTTTTCCTTTTTAGTGCTTCTCCGAGGAAATGTTTGCATGGAGAAGAAAGCGGCCAATATGCCAACCGTAGTACCAACCTCTAAATATGGACATCTAAGGGATGGCTTCCTTGGTGGCTCAGCTGCTAAAGAGTCTGCCTGCAATGCAGAAGACCTGGGTTCGATCCCAGGTTGGGAAGATCTGGAGAAGGGAATGGTTACCCACTTCAGTATTATGGCCTGCAGAATTCCATGGACTGTATAAGTCCATGGGGTCACAAAGAGACAAAACTGACTGAGCGACTTTCACTTTCACTTTCAAGGATGGACAGGAAACTGTGTCCCTGCCTGTATTCTGAAGGGACATATCACTGGGCTCATGTTTGTAGGTTATACCTATTTTGTTTAGCATACATGCTTGACATTTAAAAATATGTAGTACCTTTTGTTTTACTTCTTTAAAGGACTGTCATAACTCTTACATGGGCTTCCCTTGTGGCTCAGATGATAAAGAATCTGCCTGCAATGCAGGACACCTGAGTTTGATCTCTGGATTGGGAGATCCCCTGGAGAAAGGCATGGCAATCCATTCCAGTATTCTTGCCTAGAGAATTCCATGGACAGAGGAGCCTGGCGAGCTACAGTCCATGAGGTCGCAAAGAGTCGGACACAACTGAGCTTACTCTTACATATTATCTGGTGGCTACCAGTTCTCTAAAACATACAAATCCTCAAAAAGTCTTCCTTAAGTGACATTGACAAACTGATCCGAAATTTTCAGGATTGTCCCAGAATTTTGGCTGGAGGGTATTCCCCAGCTGGAGTTGTAAAACTACTTACTTTCAACAGCTACACAGTCTATGTTAATAGTTCTATTTTTTTGGCATTTCTGATGCTGATAAAAAAGATGACGGTCTCACAGTACTTGTTGAGTTTGATGTGTTGTGTAAAAGAGGTGTGTTACCATTCTCACGGTGAATGCAGAAACATGCACAAGCTGGGACAGGTTTATCTTATGGGGGATTCACACATGTTTCAGTTTCATCAGCCTTGGGAGTCTATCAGCACATATCATAAAATATCCCCTGTGAGTACTAATGCCCATCTAATGGTGTGCACAGTCCATGAGGTGATAACATTCATGGTGTGGTATTAGAATAATGTTCAGTGAACAGCTAGATGCATAAAGTTTAATTAGTCAGAGAACCAACTTCCCAAGCTCTGAACAACTTAATTATGCGCTGGCTTTCAGTGTAATCGCTGCTTTCCAAGCAATACTCCCTCTAGGCAGAATGTGCAGGTAATATTAATGACAATAAACAGTCCTTTAGAATTTCTGGAACATTAGTCGTCCTGTCCTGATCCATGGCTCTCTGCCCCTTGCTCCCACCTCTGGCACTCCTGCTCTCGGCTGTGTCCTGTAGGGGTGCACTCAGCCCGGCCACTGTTCACTCCTTGTCCCCCCATTCACTCCACAGACATTTATGGAGCATCTTCATGTGCTCCATGTTCTGTGTGACCCCATGGATTTGACAGTACAGCACTGGTCCCTTTAAGTCATCCCATCTGACCACTGCATCCATGAACAAGTCTGAAGGATGCCACAGGTCTGCAGGGGTCAAGCAGAGACGGGGTGACCTTGCATTTATGCTTTGAGCCTGAAACTTCTCCCAGCCTCCCAGGAGGCAGACCCGGCCAGAGCCAAGAGAAGCTGGTGTGGCCTCCTGTCCCAGCTCCCAGGGAGCCAGGCTGCCTCCCCATGTCCATCTCAAGTCTAGCTTCCTCCGCTCTGATCGCTGAGCTGCCCTGGATGCAGGGCCCTGTCCATGATGGGCCAGCTCGCTGCGGACCTTGGCTGCCTCCGTTACACCTGTTCAGTGGGTCGTTTCTTCCCTACAGTTCTCAGTACAACTGTTTGCAGCTCTTAGAGGAAATACTCTGCAGGGTACTGAAAGGTCAATGACATGTCACTGAGTTCTCCCAACCTGTAAGCAGTATATTGAATTTTTTATAAAGAATTTTAAAAGTCTTTATTTGGTTTGTTACAGTATTGCTTCTGTTTCCTGGGGTTTCTTTTGGCTCCACTGCCTGTGAGACCTTAGTTTCCTGACCAGGGCTCAAACCCACAGCCCCTGCACTGGAAGGCAAAGTCTTATCCACTGGACTGCCAGGGAAGTCCGGCCTGTAAGCATGTTATACCAGCTAGAACAAGCAAGAGGCTCCCTTCCAAGTAGACAGACTAGAAATATGTGGCCCCATCTGGGGCAAATGCCACTGGATGGATGCACAGCCAGGCAGCCATCCCTGGCCTGGAGCTTGCGCCCACCTTCCCAGCACAGGACATGAACCCCAGTGGAGTGCTGTATTCTTTCACTGGGCTCTCTGAGCCTCAGCCGTCCCCACATGGCCACCCCCACTCAGTCTCAGCTCCACGTCTCCCTTGCCCCGGGGACCCTGACGGCCCTGCCCGCCCTGGCTCTGCAAACTCTCCTGTGTCCTCGGCTTTCCTCTGCTGAAGCCCACAGAGCATCCTCCTGTGACAGTGAGCCTGTTTGCAGGTGTGCTTCATGCCTGCAACAGTGACCCTGTGAAAGCAAGGACCTTATTTTACTTAATTTTGGTCCTGTCTCCTGGCTTTGCCTCACAGCAGGTGAGCTTGCTTCTGGTTTGAAAATGTGGAAGGAATTAGGGCAGAGCTGCTTCTGTGTGCTCCTTGGACCAAATCCACCTCCACGTGCACCTGTACCAGGCCCCCTGAGTCTCTCCTGATGGACGATGGTGTGGATCCTGCGCTAACCTGGGGGCTACCCACAAAACTACCCCAGGGTAGTCCCCAAAGTCCATCCACCTAGGAAGCATCGTTTTTCCTCTCTATATCACAGTATCCCTATCAGAATAAGAGTGTCCTATAACACTTCACTTATCTTACTAAAAAACATCTCTGGGCTTCCGTGGTGGCTCAGTGGTAAAGAATCCACCTGCCCATGCAGGAGACTCAGGTTCATACCCATGATTTCAGCAGATTAGCTGCTCCCTAGATGGTCACTGGTTGAATGGATGGATCTTTAGGTTTTTGTTTGATATTGGGCTCACCTTCTAAGACTCACATTTTTGTAAATGCCTGGGGACTGTAGGTTAGGAGAAGGTTAGGGCTTAGGGAAGGCCTTAGAAAGGATTTCCTTGTCGCTTCTAATTCATCAATTTATATACTGACCAGGTACCCTTCCTCAATGTTTGAGGGCTGGAGTCAGAGGATGGAGACGGATGCTGCTTGGAAAGGTAGGGGTGAGATGGGGGTAGGCTGGGACATTCACGCCAGGTGAGATTGGCCAGCCCGACCAGAGGCTTTCCTCCTGGAAACGAAAACCCGGCCCAGATCCAGTCCCGGGTTTCTCAAGTGCTGACCTCACCTCTTGGCTGACTTTCATTTTCAGCTCACCTGCAGGTTTGCATTCAGAGCCTCCAGCTGAGCTATCATCAACAGTGAAGGTGAAAGTCTGAGCAAACTTGGAGTGACAGGGCAAGGTCACCAGTAACCGGAGGAGACAGCTTGACTGTAAATAACCCCCAGGACCGCGCCATGCAGAGTGTCCAGTGCTACCTCTTTGCCTTGCAGTCACACAGAGGACCAATGTCAAAGACACCCTTAAGAAGCTTAACAAGGAACTGCATCAAAAAAGCACCATAAACATTGATGTTTATTAACCTAGGATGAGTAAATGCTGAGGAGGATCGCATTCAACAAGGCAGAGATATTTGGCAGGATTATCAAATAGGACTTGAGGTCCTCTTTGGAGGAATTTGCTTTTTATTTTTCGTAAATTTGTTCTCCTAGTGATTGTAACCAGCTGCTTTCAACAGAACAGTGCTATTCTCAATCATCTTGTGAGTTTCTTAGAGTCACACAGTAATGCTAGAAAAGACCTGGGGAATTTTTTTAAATTAATTAACTTATTTTAATTGGAGGCTAATTCATTTACAATATTGTGGTGGTTTTCGACATACATCGACATGAATCAGCCATGGGTGTAAATGTGTCCCCCTATCCTGAACCCCTCTCCCATCTCCCTCCCCACCCCATCCCTCTGGGTTGTCCCAGAGCACTGGCTTTGAGTGCCTTGAGTATTCTTGCCCAAACCCATTGTAGTTTCATAGATAAGGTAATAGGAGCTCAGTGAAATGAAGCAACTTGCCCTGGGGCTGTGGGCAGCATAGTGGGAATCTACTGATTCATCAACCCACTTGCCCGCCCTCATGATGAAACCACACCTAGACACCCCTCAAGCAGCATCCTCGCACCAGAGCCAAGGTCAGAATAGAGTCTTACACACCTGTCACCTGCCCTCATCACGCCTACCTCCAGCCCCGACACTCAGAGTCCTGACCATGACTTGGCCCAAGGCCAACTCTGCCCTCATTCCCTGGCTCCCTTGTTGTTCAATTGCTCAGTCATGTCTGAATGTTTCTGACCCCACAGAGTGCAGCATGCCAGGCTCCTCTGTCCTTCACTATCTCTTGGAGTTCACTCAAACTCATGTCCATTGAGTCGGTGATGCCACCCAACCATCTCATCCTCTGTTGTCCCCTTCTCTTCCTGCCCTCAGTCTTTCCCAACATCAGGGTCTTTTCCAATGAGTCGAGTCTGCTCTTTGCATCAGGTGGCCAAAGTATTGGAGCTTCAGCTTCAGCATCAGTCCTTCCAATGCATATTCAGGGTTGATTTCCTTTAAGACTGACTGGTTTGATCTTGCTGTCCCAGGGACTCTCAAGAGTCTTCTCCAACACTACAGTTCAAAAGCCTCAATTCCTGACTCCCCATCTGAGCACAAAGCCTGGAGTTCAAACCCTGCCTCCCTAAACCTTGTCCTGGAAAACAACTGCATATGTCAGTTTCCTCCCCTGAAACCTGGGGGCTGATGCTCCTCACCTTGTAGGATTGCTGTGACCTCCATAAGAAACCAAATTAGAGCATTTCCTATAACCTTGCAGATAAATGCCAAGTAGGTACTCCTCTCCTGCATCAAGCCCACTTCTTCATTGTCTTGCCTTCAGCCTTTATTGGGCAGGAAGCATCTCTGATAAAAGAACTCACAGCCCCTGTTTGACCTTGAGCAAGGTGCAAACAGTGATAAAGCTTGCAGTGTTCAAAGAGCCAGAGGCTGTTTGGACCCTTAGGCAGAGAGACTTGGCTCTTTTAATCCTGAAGCCTGAAAGGGAGAGGTCGGGAGCTGCCCTGGACCTGCTGGTCACTGAACATCATCTAAA